AGAGGAGGCAATGATAATGCTTCAGTGCCCTGTGTTATCTCAGTACTGTAGAGGAAGCTAGGATAATGCTTCAGTCCCCTGTGTTATCTCAGTACTGTAGAGGAGACATTGATAATGCTTCAACCCCTGTGTTATCTCAGTACTATAGAGGAGGCAATGATAGTCTTTCAGTCCCCTATGTTTTCACAGTACTGTAGAGGAAGCTAGGATAATGCTTCAGTCTCCTGTGTCATCTCAGTACTGTAGAGGAGGCAATGATAATGCTTCAGTTCCCTATGTTATCACAGTACTGTAGAGGAGGCAATGATAATGCTTCAGTCCCCTATGTTATCTCAGTACTGTAGAGGAAGCTAGGATAATGCTTCAGTCTCCTATGTTATCTCAGTAATGCAGAGGAAACTAGGATAATGCTTCAGTCCCCCGTGTCATCTCAGTACTATAGAGTAAGCTAGGATAATGCTTCAGTCCCCTGTGTCATCTCAGTACTGTAGAGGAAGCAATGATAATGTTTCAGTCCCCTGTGTCATCTCAGTACTGCAGAGTAAGCAATGGTAATGCGTCAGTCCCCTGTGTTATCTCAGTACTATAGAGGAGGCAATGAAAATGCCTCAGTCCCCTGTGCTATCTCAGTACTATAGAGGAGGCAATGATACTGCTTCAGTCCCCTGTGGTATCTCAGTACTATAGAGGAGGAAATGATAATGCTTCAGTCCCCTGTGTCATCTCAGTACTGCAGAGTAAGCAATGGTAATGCGTCAGTCCCCTGTGTTATCTCAGTACTGTAGAGTAAGCTAGGATAATGCTTCATTCCCCTGTGTCATCTCAATACTATAGAGGAGGAAATGATAATGCTTCAGTCCCCTGTGCTATCTCAGTACTATAGAGGAGGCAATGATACTGCTTCAGTCCCCTGTGGTATCTCAGTACTATAGAGGAGGAAATGATAATGCTTCAGTCCCCTGTGGCATCTCAGTAATGTAGAGGAAACTAGGCTAATGCTTCAGTCCCCTGTGTTATCTCAGTACTGTAGAGTAAGCTAGGATAATGCTTCCGTCCCCTGCGTCATCTCAATACTATAGAGGAGGAAATGGTAATGCTTCAGTCCCCTGTGTCATCTCAGTACTATAGAGGAAGCTAGGATAATGCTTCAGTCTCCCTTCAGTCCCCTGTGTTATCTCAGTACTGTAGAGGAGGCAATGATAATGATTCAGTCCCCTATGTTATCTCAGTAATGTAGAGGAAACTAGGATAATGCTTCAGACCCCCGTGTTATCTCAGTAATGTAGAGGAGGCAATGATAATGCTTCAGTTCCCTATGTTATCACAGTACTGTAGAGGAGGCAATGATAATGATTCAGTCCCCTATGTTATCTCAGTACTGTAGAGGAAGCAATAATAATGTTTCAGTCCCCGGTGTCATCTCAGTACTGTAGAGTAAGCAATGATAATGCGTCAGTCCCCTGTGTTATCTCAGTACTGTAGAGTAAGCTAGGATAATGCTTCCGTCCCCTGCGTCATCTCAATACTATAGAGGAGGAAATGATAATGCTTCAGTCCCCTGTGTCATCTCAGTAATGTAGAGGAAACTAAGATAATGCTTCAGTCCCCTGTGTTATCTCAGTAATGTAGAGGAAGCAATGATAATGCTTCAGTCCCCTGTGCTATCTAGGCACTATAGAGGAGGCAATGATAATGCTTGAGGCCGCTGTGTTAGCTCAGGACTGTAGAAGAAGCTAGGATAATGCTTCAGTCTCCTGTGTCATCTCAGTACTGTAGAGGAAACTAGGATAATGCTTCAGTCCCCTGTGTTATATCAGTACTAAAGAGGAGGCAATGATAATGCTTCAGGCCCCTGTGTTATCTAGGCACTATAGAGGAGACAATGATAATGCTTCAGTCCCCTGTGCTATCTCAGTACTATAGAGGAGGCCATGATAGTCCTTCAGTCCCCTATGTTTTCACAGTACTGGAGAGGAAGCTAGGATAATGCTTCAGTCTCCTGTGTCATCTCAGTACTGTAGAGTAAGCTAGGATAATGCTTCCGTCCCCTGCGTCATCTCAATACTATAGAGGAGGAAATGATAATGCTTCAGTCCCCTGTGCTATCTCAGTACTATAGAGGAGGCAATGATAGTCTTTCAGTCCCCTATGTTTTCACGGTACTGTAGAGGAAGCTAGGATAATGATTCGGTCCCGTGTGTTATCTCAGTACTGTAGAGGAAGCTAAGATAATGCTTCAGTCCCCTGTGTCATCTCAGTACTGCAGAGTAAGCAATGGTAATGCGTCAGTCCCCTGTGCTATCTCAGTACTATAGAGGAGGCAATGCTAATGGTTCAGTCCCCTGTGTTATCTCAGTACTATAAAGGATGCAATGATAATGCTTCAGCCCCCTGTGCTACGACTGTTGTTTGTAAGGGATATTTATGAGCAGTTTATTTATCGAATGTATATGTTTCACTCAGGTTGAGGCCCTCTTTATTTATATTCATGCTCTCGTGCAATCTCTGACGTCTGATAAACACGTCATGTCAATGATAGTAATCTACTTTCAATAAATTAATGTAGATTTGTTTTATTTGAATGAATGAATTAATGTATTTATTAAATTGATTTATCAATAAATTAATAAGTCAATCAATCAAAAGGTTAAATCAATCGAGCGGTAATTAATTAAATCAGCAAATTAAGCAATCAATCAACAACATCAATCATCGATCAGATCAATTAATCAATCATTTAATCAATGAAACACGTTTTCATCGAATCAATATATTGACATTTAAAACATAAAGATTAATGATAATTTAATCGCGAAATTTCATTTTAATTTAATGGATTAATACAAAAATTGAGCAATTAATGACTTAAGGGTGTATGTACTACCAGGTCATACATTACGAACAATGTAAAATGTCATTCTTGAATGATAGTTTGAAGCAGTTCATTACTTAAAACGTTTAAAAGAATATAGCCATTCATACTGTATAATACCAATTCAAAGATTTAATTGGGCATAATCACAAAACAAAGAAAGTATAATGTGTGAAGTAGCATACATCCTTAACAACGAAGGCAAGAAATCGGAATGTCAATGTCGTGGTATTCCCGTACGGAAACTCCCAATAATTGCCGTGACTGTAGACAATGAGAGGTCTGGAGTAGACACAACAGCTACACATCGCCATGTTCCTGGAACATAATCACGCCGTAAGTGGCATTCCATTTATAACAATGAAACCACAGGGAATGGTGACGTTCTTTAGACATTTAAATTTCGTTCTTTAAACATTTAAATTTGAATCTGATGTGTCTTAATTGTGGTATACGGAGATTATCCCCCATGTGTATACGATCAGTGAGACCCAGGGACATGGATCCTCTCACTTCACGGAAAACAGACATACTCTTTTAAAATGAAGTTTCTCTGCAGATTACCGGCTAGTACATCGCTCTCCCACCAGGAATTGGGACTATACTACGTCTCTTTAAAAGAATTGTCCCAGATTTACGACCTTGATTCTTTGTACAAGTACAACAAGGAGGTCCATCAATTCTATGGAAGACACGACTGAAAAATTCTGAAGACGTTGTCTGAAGGGGTTGACTTCTTATACCGTTATATTTCATAGATGCATTATGTCTAAAACTATGAATTACACATTTACCCTTGTACCGAATTAAAAAAAATGACTTAATTTTATGATTTACAATTTAAGATCGCAGTTTACTCCCCGTGATTTTGAACTGCAGAAATGAAAGACAACAGCAGGAACCAGGGAGACACCAAACTAACAGGGAAATCAACAGCAGGAACCAGGGAGACACCAAACTAACAAGAAAGGAAACAACAGGAACCAATGAGACACTAAACTTATAGGGAAGACAACAGCAGGACCCAGGGAGACACCAAAATAACAAGAAAGGAAACAACAGGAACCAGGGAGACACCAAGCTAACAGGGAAGACAACAGCAGGAACCAGGGAGACACCAAACTAACAGGGAAATCAACAGCAGGAACCAGGGAGACACCAAACTAACAAGAAAGGAAACAACAGGAACCAATGAGACACCAAACTTATAGGGAAGACAACAGCAGGACCCAGGGAGACACCAAAATAACAAGAAAGGAAACAACAGGAACCAGGGAGACACCAAACTAACAGGGAAGACAACAGCAGGAACCAGGGAGACACCAAACTAACAAGAAAGGAAACAGCAGGAACCAGGGAGACACCAAACTAACAAGAAAGGAAACAGCAGGAACCACTTATATACCAAAACAAAAGGAAAGATAACAACAGGTTAAGCGTCTTTGCTTCACCGATGATACTGTAGAATCATTTATTTTCGCGGGGTTAAAATGTCGTGGTTTTCATATACAAGCCTGTTTCAAGAACATTATATTTCGATGAATTCTGATTCCCCCATATCTATATCATACCAAATTTATGTTTTCGTGGGGATTTAACTTCTTGAATTTTTGTTATCCACAAAATAAACGAAATTTAATGTCTCACGAAAATGTTGGATTTTACAGTACATGCTATGCAAATCCACGTTAAATTCCAAGTAATGTCATGTTCTCAAAAGGAGAACTAGGGTAGTGACAACGAAACAACAAGACACACTAATGAACAAAACCAAAAACATTGATCATCATATTACACAAGGATATAGCATTTTTCCAAATTATATCATGATAGGCGACCGTTAAACATAGTCCATAGTCCATGTCCATAGTCCTCACCATCCTGCTTCTATCAAAACCATGTGTTGTTAAGCTTGTCCGTCAGACCAGACAGCCTGATGTAACTCCAGTGGACAATGGTGCTACAGACTCATATAATTCAAATGCTTTTTACACATATAATATGAACACAACATTTAGCATTTTATTTACACATTTATTCTATCATTATATTATACAATATCATTAATTTCCCGTCATTTCCGAAACTGTTAATTAGGCACTTATTTCACCAAAAGACTTCCGACATGAACTTAAATGCTTTTAGATCTACTCGAGGTACATATGTTGTAGCTGAGTAAAGGAACATTTTACAAAACTATGAATAGACAATACGTAATTAATAAAAGTATATCATCCTTGAAATCCATGTCATTTAAATTGTGGTTGATCAATATCTGTTTAGAATCCAAACCGCATATCAACTTTCCGCAGTCTGATAACGTTGCGTAGTCCGAGAATCAATATGGTATTGTGACGTTGAACTGATTTAAATAAAATTAAAACACTACATTATGGTTGATGTTATGTTGACCTTTCATTTAATGATCGGATGTTTTTATACCGTAAAATTTTCAATATAACCCCACTGGTTAATTGCCATTTCGTTTATCTCTAATATATTGCTAGTACTAATTGCTGGTACATTGTAGTATGACGCGCAGTGCGTATATCTTGTATTATTTGATACTACATTGTACACCACAGTGTATCGCAGGGAAACGTAGAGAATGATAGGATTTGAATCCAATGACATTAATAGTTCTTTGTCAGAGTGAGTTACGCAATTTAAGAGTCCCCGTGGCAATGTCAGCTTGTGAAGATTAGTACAATCTTTCAACATCACTTTACTTATACATGCACGTACTTTACCAGTTTAACTCGGTCACCGAACACCGCCCACAAGCCCTGGTCCTGTCTGCCTACACCTACAGCCCACGCTAGGGCTGTGTCAGTGTGGAGGAGGCGAAGGTAGTCTCCACTTCCACTCAGGAGATGCAGACAACAGTTGCCACCGTCCGCAATTACCAAGTGTCCCATACGGTCGTACGCGACATCCCATGGGTTAAACGGTTTTGTCCCGGGACGGCCTTTGTGCTGGGACCGTCCATATCGGTAGAGCACCTGTAGGTTTTTGTCCATGATAACGATATGGGGCTTGTCTTGACCCCTTTCACCTGATCGATCCCTGTCAACTATAGCAATCCTTTCACTGATGGGACACTGCGATATCTTCTGTGGTGAACAAACTAAGGGCTTCGAAAACAGTGATTTTGTTGTAGCGATGACAACTTTTCCTTCTGAAGTGTATTCTGTAATTTTGTTTTTCGTTCCCGCAATAACGTGGTCTTCCCCAATGACGCATAGGGTCTTTGGTTCGTCCCTAATTGTGAATCTGCATTTCATTGTGTTTGATGTCAGCTCAATGATGCTGTTGTCTTTGTCAGAGCATGCCCAGATGTTTTGGGTAGTTGGAGACACGCTGATATCCTTGATCACGACAGGAATCTGTATACTCTGCTGTACGGTTCCTTGGCTTGTCAGGTGTGTCACGGTGTCGCTTTTCCAATAACATGTCCACGCCCCGCCGTCATTAGTGGGGCAAACAGATGAAATGTTCAACTGAGATTTTAGTTCTGGCAAAATGTTTGTCTGTGGAGAATCGTCGTATGGTGGTGGTAGTGGAGAGATCTGCGATAGACGGTCGTACGGTGGCGGAGGACTGGTCTCAGGTAGAGAGGCTTGTTCTGGCGCTGTAATAGCTTGTGGTGGAAGGGGATACTGCACTTCCTGGCTGTTCCGTGGCAAAATGTCTGGTAGAGTTTGACTGGTCTTCTGTTGAAGAGCGTCTGGACCCTTGGAGTTGGGTTCGTCAGACCAACTTGGTTGGATCAACTTCACTTTACCAAAAGCGTGCTGAAGGCTTCCGTCATTAGTCCTGTTTGGGGTGAACCATGCATTACCAAAGGTGGGTTTCCTTGGTAACGTGGTAGTTCTTTGGAGTCCAAGGACCATGTCAAACACATGGATATCTGTGCCAGTTTGAAGGGATTCCTTACATTGTTTCAACTGCTCTTTCAATCCGCCAAGTGTCTTCTCAAGCTCTGCCGCGTAACTGTGGCGGAGTTTGCAGTTTTCGTCTTTCAAAAATTTCAATTGAGAATGTGTTTGAGATATAAAAATATCAAGATCCTCCTTGAGTTTTCTTCCTGTTTCTTCTACTTCTATGGCTACACTGTCGAAATGGTCAATGTCCTTTTGATAGCTGTCCTGGGTGGAGTTGAGTTCCTTGTGAATCTGAGTTAGTTCATTTTCTTCCGTGTCATAGATGAATGCTTTAATCTTCAGTTTGTTTGTAGGAGTAATTTCACTCAGGTGGTCACATTTATGACCTTTGTGTAAACTGGACACACATTTCGGACAAATCAATTCAGAACACTTTTCACAAAACCATTCCAACTTTTCACCCTTGTGATGAACACAAGAGGTCTGACTGTTCTTCTGTTCTTTATAGGTTTGAGTAGCCATTCCAGCCATTTCATCGACGGTACCTTCTTAAATACTGAAGCTGTGAAGAATTCGTACTGACTAGTTTGTTTAGAGTATACTCCCTCAGCCTGTGATAACAGTCGATTCTCTATTGTATTACAAATATGATCATCCGGTATGTGATAATGAAATACAAGTGTTATCCCTTTACGTGTGGTGGGTACTGTTCCTTTATCTTTAAGTTGTTGACCACGCTAACAGTAATTTCCTGTAATTAAGGAAAAGATATTATTATGATATAATTAATTTCTTCGCATGTTTGAATGTGGTAATTCGGATATCCTCGTTTAGCAAGCACTAAAAAGCAGGTCACATTTGTATTTGTAGTATTAGATAACAACGAAGCTTGAAGTGGGACACGGGACTATATAGCTACCAGATTAGAGTAGCTTACTTATTAGACGGATAAGTAATGGTTGAAAACGAGGCTAACCAGTTTGACAACAGATAAGTGATTGATGAAAACATGGGTAGAGATAGTAATAACTAGATTAGTGGTTAACTAGATAGGAGAACACCTGAATTAGAAGTGGTGTAAATGAGATTGGACTGTTTATTAAAATACCATCTATATATACTACTTTATACCACCCACCAATTTTCCAATTTAGGAATGAATTTTTCTCAAAAGAGAATATTTTCTCGCCCTATAAGATGTTATAAACAGGAACAAACATCCATACAGCAGTGTTTCGCTTAAGAATGTAGTCCGTCATTAACAAATGATTATACAATTATGAAAAATATCGTGAGGACAATAGCACCTGTAAGAGTACGTATGGAGATGACAGTAATATTGTTTTAAAATATGTTTCTTCAATATTTCTTAAGGTATATGCTATTCCTCCGCGCAAAAACTTTTATTGGTTTACGTTTGTCACCGACCTTGAATCGTGATGATCATGAGGCCTAGAAGTCAGATGGAAGATATGGAAGTAGTTGTTTTGTTTTAATGGAGAAATATATAAGATAGTAGTATATATAGATGATAAATAGATTATCACACACTATTGACAGGGTTTATGGTAGGAAGCATTTTCTCATCGCTTGTACGTGGTCAAAATCTCGAGTCCACTTGCGGACGCATCTCGATTTTATCTACGTGCTCGTAATGAGGAAGTTCTTCCAACAACAAAACCTGAAATCACAAAGTGATAATCTATGATTATCAACAGAAGTAAAGTTGCATGACCCAAGTGTAGGAAAAGTCCAGTAGTACGTACACATATTAGTCCCAATATTTAATCTATTAGTTGTAGAAATAGTATGTCTAAATTCACAATTATTTATTGACACTATTGTTACAAAAGTAGTAATAATTTATCAGTTTTTCAAAGATCACCCCTCTAGTATTCACGATTGATATTTTATACATGTATGTGTCCTGTCCCTGACTGTTTTGATGTGAATTGCACACACACACACAAAAAAAGAAAAAAAACAGGCAAAATTTTCCTCACCTGCTAAGTTCGTTCATCCAGTCAAAATTGAGGTGCACTACGAGTACAGATGCACACATATATGTACATATTGTCGGATCTATAACTGCGGATGACAGATTTTCATATGATATTGACATAGATCATAATAATAGTATGATGAGTCAGGGGACGGGCCGTCAGCTCACTTAAGTTCTGTTATCGAAAACAAACATGTGATAGATATCGACATCGATTCCGGATTGAGGAAGCGATATCTGTACCGCACACGGTCCAACACCTGGTAATATGTAATGAATGAGAATACCTTGAATTGCATATGTCTACCTTTATCGGGCTTAATGACACATCAAGTAATGGGACAACTCCGTTGATAATTTTTCCATAAGTGTTATTTATGATATGACAACGTGGATAATCTGACCCTCGTGCCATGAAAAATCTTTTCTGTAAAATGTTTATTTGATACTGATTTTACTTCGACGAAATATAAATCGAAAATCTATAATTTTTACAAAGTAAAACACCCAAAACTTTTACCAAAACTCTAATAACTATTCTTTAGCTCCAAGTAATGTTTAGTTTGGTTCAGTTTGGTTTTATTTTGTTTAACGTCATTTAAGGACGTGCCTCCGTGTGTGTGTGTATGCGTGCGTGTGTGTACATGTATGTGTACTGGAGACGGGGTATGTTGGTGTAATTACCGCTTTGTGATAGCACGGATCTGATGCCGACTTTATAGTGCTAACTCACTGAAATACCATGCCGAAGGCACCCAGCACAGCATCCCGCCCGGTCACATTATACTGACAACGGGTGAACCAGTTGTTGCCATTACCCTCATTAATTGTAAGTCCATCTCGACTTAACGTAACATCGTATAATCTGCACCCATTTGTTTATTCTTTCGTTCTCATACAATACCTTCGGATTTACATCGTCGAGCTTACTCAGCACCTACAAATCACAAAGGGTAAGACCAAGTTGAGCAATATTCGTGCATAACAAAGTACTATATATCTCAAAGGCTGGTTCGATTCAAATTGATAACCTCCTTAAATATGTTTGGATTTTCATTTAACATCTTCATCAACTACAACCTACAAAGTGTGAGACAAAGTTCAATACTGATTGATATCAGTACATAGCAAATAAGTGTACCGCTATTTATCTGAATTGCCAGAATGTTTTAAATTGATAACTTCCTTAAATATCTCCGAATCTACACAAAACTTTTTTTATATCCCCGTCTCGGCGAGATTTAATATAAAATGGCGTGTTCTGTTCGTCCATCCGATTTTGTCTGAATTAATACTCCCACTGGTTTCAACCGATTTCTCTAAGAATTGTCAGGTCTCTATCCCAGACATATTGATCTAAGGATCAGTTTAAAAGTAATTGTCCTTTGCGCACTTGGAAAATTACAACTTGTTTTCTCAACCTATACAAATGCAAACGTACTGCTGATAATTAAAAATAGAATTTCGTTCCATCAACATATTTAGATAGAGCAGGCACGTACCTCTCCTCAGAGTTAAGCATGGTGCTTGAGAACAATGAGAAAACGGACGCTAATGCTCAGTATTAATAGATAAAAGAGATCCTAGAGGGATCTTAGTTCCAACCCATAAGATCTTCATTAGTTCTAGGTAAGTTTAGTCTTTGTCGTTCTTTTCTCTTAATTGTTGGACTGAAAGTCATTACTGAAACAGTGATTAAACCTTTTGATTACTTCTGATTTAAACCTCATACTCCTATGCTTGACATTGACACTTCTTGTTGGTTATATCCATCTTTTCCCTCTAATTCATCTTAAAAAAAATATGCTACTCCAGATAACATAAAACCATATTTATGAAATTTGGGAAATTTGGGAAAGATCTCGACTTTCTAAGCAATAGTCCGACAGTCGAGTTAAAATATTAACTTTATTTACTTTACAACAATTATGATCAAATTATAAAATTAACAGTAACCAATCTTGTTTGCATTCAGTTCAGAAGTAAAGATGCAAAACTAGGAACCAAGGAAAAACTGAAATTTGATAAAGGTCCCTTCAGTATTTGTTAGCCAAACCGGTACCATCCTGTAACTGTCAAAATCCTTTGTGGCTCTGTTCAGTCTCAAACGAAAATATACACTACTAAAGACCAAGGAAACTTAGAAAATAAATTCGAGAAAGATCCGTCGAGTATGTCGTGTGACAAGAACAAGAAATGCTGCAGGACGAACTACCATGGACCATGGACAAAGGACAGAGGCAGATTGAACAGACCACCATAATGAGTTAATATCACTGTAATGCTCTTGGTCAACGTGTTATCTTTTGCTTTCTCCGTTTACAATATGTCCAATAAGTGTTTCCTTCCTTCGTATGGCTAGTGTTGATTTTATTGGATATGATTAGAGCTCTTTTTAGCAGCCCTAAACAATCTGCAGAGTTTGCTTAACAATTAAGATACATTCTCTGTGTTCGTTACTTTTAAGAATGTTTGTTTCAGTATTGATTGAAGGAAATAATAAAAGGAATGGGCTTTGTGATACTAACATTATATTGAACAACGTAAACATCATAGTTATAATAAATATTACAGTGACAACAATGAATGAGATTCCAATGATAATATAAAAACCGCCTACAATTGGTAGTCCTGACAAAAGTTGAGTGAGTTGTTTGAAATAGCTGCTGCAGGTTCTGTACTGCAGCTGAGATTCTTAAAAAAAAAGTCATGTCTTCCGTACGAAACATCCCATTGCAGCAATAAGGCAAGTATATCTGTTTTCCGTGACAGTGGAAAAGTTCTCATCACTCACTCGCGTAAAGGATGTTTCGGCATTGCTGATGTGACGTCAATGTGTAACATAATCTCAATCGAGGTGCAAACGAGTTTGGGATATATCAGAGACAGCTCTTGTTAAAAAAAATCTACTGGACATTTTTTTTTTTTATATATACATTTTTGATATTTGGTACCTGTGATTTTTCTATTTAGGTCACTCAGTAAGCTTATCTGTTGTTTGCGACAAAGTTTTCAACAAATACGGAATGGGAGAATACGTCGAAAAGTCTATACAAAATGTATATAAAAACCAAAACCGCGTAAAGTATTCTAAAGATTGTTAACGAACGTATATCTTTGATAACATGACATTATTTGGATTGATCTAGATTGACCTGGCGAGTGTTGTCGATGAATGAAGAAAACGACGCTTCATGTCGGCAACACCTGGTCGTGTTATACTTGTACTTTTCCAATGGTCTGCATATAGATATTTCCATTGTCCATAGTTTGCCCTAGTTTCGTTGATTTTGAGTTTACACTTCGGTATAACCTTTGTTCATATACGCACGTTTCCATTCATCGTTTCCAACGAGGAACGGCTTCATATTCCAATTGACCGCAAAGCCTTGGCAAATCTAACGCATTTAGCACGATGCATCCCTCAGCTAGAAAGAACTTTATTGCATCTTGGTTGTCACTGTATTGTTCGTGTTAATAAGTGAGCATCAAGTTCTATTCAATCTTAAAGTGAAGTCCATGCCTACTCAGGATTTGTTTTGGTGTGCAAGTTACTTGTTGCGTGATCTTGTGGTTAAAATAGACACCAGTTTATCCTATGAACAACTGTGTAAGAAGCGTTTTCCTTTTTTTTACACGGTGCTATGAAATGTTGGCAATCACGAATGTATGAAAAATAAAAATCGAAAAGGTAACGCTGGAGATTTTATAGTTGACTGTGTACCATTCGTGAATCTTCCGTTTTTTGTTTTTTTAAGTAATTGATTAGCGCGTGCAGTACATGTGACTCTAAGCTACGGTGTCCTTAGAGGGCGCTACATAATCTTCTCCCATAAAACGCAAATAAAATACTAGTGATTTGTGAACACGACGAGATTTTCTCGAACAGTTCGCTTTAGATGTCTGACCTGTTAGCTTAAACCCAGGAGAGGGTATGTGCACACAGAAATAAATATTGGTTAAATGCCGAAATTGTACCAAATTTATTTCATCTGTTAAGATTTTGATTCAGCACCCAATCGTTTTAAGTTATTTGTTTTGTTTAGATTAAATAAATCAATTTTGAAACCCGTAATAAAGATTTTATAATCTGACAAAACTTTGTATAATAGATCGATATGAAACATGGTAAAGAAGATCAAAATACGAACATCAATCCGTTGTTGTCGAGAGACTTTAAGCTAATCTCGTCCTAGTAAAACGAGAACATCTACGAGGGGAAAATTAATTTGCTTTAAAACTGATATCTTCCGCGTTTAAAGGAAATTGCGTTTATCGTTGCCGACTATAAACTTTGATTTCACAAAATGTTTGTCGCGTACCGAATTAATCCCATAAAAAGTGCAATAAAGGTTTTAGTTTTTGAAATTGTTATCAGTATATGCGTTTCCTTTTCTTTCTCATTTAATATCGAAGTGAATCCATATACGAATTGACCTTTCAAACATTATTTTCACAAAACTACCATCAAAACTCTTTACCCCATTATCAGACTAAACTCAAGCAAAATCTTCCTAGCCAAGGCTTCGGGGGACAATGTCCAGACAGATCTAGAATGTCATCACTGCTGCAACATGAACCCTGAGTTGAACTTGTTCTTGGGGCACAAACGAAATAGTTCAGACTTGTGTTTGTTTGTATTTATTTAATACTTTCAATAAGAAAAACATTTACTTATGTACTTGGTATCGAATTCAGTTCAAGCTAACACATTGATGAAAACAAAGTCCACATTTCTTTTCTCGAAATACCTGTTGTCACTCCATTGATTTTTAACTATAAATTTCAGTGAATACTTTTTCCACAGCATTTTTAGTTTTCTTGTCCATTTGGTACCTTGTATTTATACGCCGGAACCTCGTCCTGTGATCTACATCACAAATACGTATTCCAAACTGCCCGAATTACTTAAAGTATACACTGAAATATATCGTCGAATATACTTTCTGCATAGCTGTATTTTTTTTCGGGAACCTTCCACTGAAGACAAATTGACTTTTACTTCAGTAGGTGCAACGAGTTATGCCTTATCCTGTTTTAAATCTACAGCATAATGACACTTATTCAGGCACTCTTGCAATTTGATATGAAAATCCACAAGTAGAGTCTACCA